CCCAAAGCCAGGCTCTCTTAGTGCCCATCCTGCGTCTGTGAGGCCCCTTGCTTCTTGTTCAGGATCTGTCAGTCATCTCTGGAGGGGTGGAGGGGTGGAGGGGTGGAGAGGGTCGGGCACGGGGCCTACAAGACCTTCTCAGAAGCAGATTGCCCGAGAGCCCAGTGTTATTACTACTCGGTGAAACCAGGCCCCTGAGTTTCAGTTTGCTATGAAGATGCTGGATTTAAATCTGCCATGAATGCCCCACATTGCAGGTTGCAGCTGTGTCTGGTAAATGGTGCTCCCAGAACAGTGTTAGTTTTTTTAATATTTTATTAATTTCTCTTGCAGAGTGATCTACGACCTACGTGGTCTACGACCACGTGGTCGTAGACTCAATATTAAGAATTCTTCTCCTTTGGAAGATTGCATAACAGGCAGGACACTTGCGCTGGAAAAGAAGTACTTCTTTTCATGTATACCCTCTGATGAAATTTCCGGAATGTTTTTCCTTTCTGACTGATGTGGAGTTGGCAGTGACTTCTAGCACTTGGGCTAAAAATGTCTGATTTCCTTCTCCCTTAGGCAGTGAATGATCTACAAAGGAACAGAGAAATCTATTACAGAAGCTGTATTTGTAATGGAAATAAAGACTCCTAATTTATTGGCTCTGTAGGTCGTTCACTTATTGATTCTCATCAAGGGAAGGACGGGAGTATTATTGTGTTAAAGGGGAAAATCTTAAGGGTTATTCTGGTAAATGAGTATTTTAGAATCTGAGAAGCTTAGAAGAAACCCAGGTTATAGGAGGAAGGAGAAGGTAAAGATCATAAGTAGGAGTCAGGGAAGATGAAGGAAGGGAAGACAGATTAGAGCTGGGAGTGTATACATTGAGCTGGGAGTTTTTATGGAACATTTCTGACATATTTAAAATTGGAGGGACTTCCCTGGCTGTTCAGTGGTTAAGACTCTGAGCTTTCATTGCAAGGGGCCCAGGTTCAAGCCCTGGTCGGGGAACTAAGGTCCCACATGCTGCGTGGCGTGGCCAAAGATAAATAAATAAATTAAAAAGTAACATAAAATTGGGTAAAAAATTATCATAAATCTCTGTGTGTAAGCATCACACAGGATTGACATTTTTTTTTTTTGCGGTACGCGGGGCTCTCACTGTTGTGGCCTCTCCCGTTGCGGAGCACAGGCTCCGGACACGCAGGCCCAGCAGCCACGGCTCACGGGCCCAGCCGCTTCGTGGCATGTGGGATCCTCCCAGACCGGAGCACGAACCCGTGTCCCCTGCATCGGCAGGTGGACTCTCAACCACTGCGCCACCAGGGAAGCCCAACAATTATTAACTTTAGCTGATTTTGTCTCATTTATTTCTCACTCTTCCCCCATCTAATATGTTTTGGAAGCAAACCTCTGTCTCCTTTTATCCATATTTTAGTAGGTATTTGTCGAACATAAGGACTATTTTAAAATATAGCCTCAATATTGTTGTCACATCTAAAAAATAATAAGTTTCCTTAATATTGTCAAATATCAAGTCAGTAACTAGCCAGAGAAATTTTCCTGTTTTCTCATATATGTTACAATTTCATCTTTGTGGTGGTTTGTTTGAAATAAGATCCAAATGAAGTAAACCCATGTGATAGTCTAAGTCTCTTATCATCTATAACTTCCCCCTCCATCTCTTTTTTTTTCCCTTGCACTTTATTTGTTAAAGATACTCAGCCATTTGTCCAGCAGACTTTCCCATAGATTGTATTTTACTGAGTACCTCACCATGGTGTATTTTAACATGTTCTGTCCTCTATATTTCCCGTCAGATTGTATCAGAGTCTTGATTAGATTCATATATTTTGTTTTGAGTTCAGAACTCTTTGTAAGTTGATGGTGTGTTTTTCCATCAGGAGGCACATAATATCTGGCTGTCCCTCATGTAGGGATGTTAGCAGCAGTTGGTGATCAGTGCCTACATCCATTTGTTCACTAGGGGTTGGAAACTAGGGATATTTTAATTCTGTGAATATTTCTGGGGGGAAAAAAGAAATACCTTTAAAAAGAGAAGCATCTCTCTCTTCTACAATTCATTTATCCAGCTGTACAGTTGGTATAGGAAAGATTGGTTCAATGTTTGCTTCTTTCCTTTTATTTATCGATTTTCAGCATAAAAGTTGGTTCACAGGCATCCTCCAGCAGTAACAAAGGCATAAAACCAAGTTTTTATTAAGTGTATTTATGATCTCATGGATTCACATATATTTGATATTGTTTCAAGTCCCTTGAGTTGTGCTAACTCAATCACATCTTTGGCCAAAGGAGGCTGCCTCAGTTTGGCCCCTGGGTCCCTTTGACACAGCCCTGGTAGTCACAGATAACTAGTTGCTTCTAGGCCTTGTTTTTTTTTAAATTTTATTTATTTATTTTTAACATCTTTATTGGAGTATAATTGCTTTACAATGGTGTGTTAGTTTCTGCTCTATAACAAAGTGAATCAGCTCTACACATACACACATTCCCATATCTCTTCCCTCTTGCATCTCCCTCCCTCCTCCAGGCCTTTCAAACCTAGGTTCTAAGCCCAGCTCCAGCACTTGCCAGCCCTTGATCTTGTAAAGTGACCTAAATTCTGAGCTTCTGTTTGCTCATCTGTAAAATGGGAATAATCATAGTACTTACCTTTATAAGATTGATGCAAGATTAAAATAGCTGAATGCTTGGCAGAGTGACACAGAGTAATGGCTTTAAAATGTTAGTTTTATTATTATTTGAATTAACGAAGAGAATTATTAGGGCTTTGGAGCTTACAGATCATTATGCCCTGGACAGTCATTAACCCTTCCTGCAAAGTGGACTTAACATTAATGTACTAAAGAAGACAATCTTTTCTGTGGATTGGCAAATGGTTTTGCTGTAGAACTGAATGCCACACTTAGAATTCAGGGCAGAGAAGAGAGCAGAGGAAGCAGCATAGGTGTGGAGAGGGCCTGAAACCACCCCCGTGAGGCCAGGCACCTGCAGAGGGCAGAGGAGGCAGTCACCTCTGAGCGCCCCCCCCCCCATCGCTCCCCCACCCCCCACCGTGCCCTCATTGGCTGTGGCCTTCACTGTTGCCATAGCGTGTGACAGGGAGGTGAGTAGAGAACTCAGTGAAGTGTGAAGCGGTAGTCAGCAGCTCAGCCCCATCTGCCCTCCCAGACGGGCCTAAAGGAGACACAGGGGCAGCCTGCGTGAGGTGCACTCTGCAACTGTGTCAGCCCTTCACAGCCTGGGCCCAGCTCTGCTGTCGCTGGTCCTTTTCTGCCCTGGCCTCTGACACCACATTTCCTAATGAATGAGGCAAATTCTCTGACACTCTGAGACTCCAGCCCTGAAGCAGTTCTCAGGCTTCCCTGGGATTAGGGATGGGGAGGGAGGGAGGGCGCTCTCTGGAGCACAGTCAGCCTTCTCCGTGTTTCCTCATTCGAATATGCTAAAGGGTTAGCAGTTGCTGCACTCATTATTATTATGTTATTAACCTTTTTTTAAAACTCAGTTTTCAGATTTTTGTTCACCTAGTCTGCTATTTGTTTTGTTTTGCTGTTTTTTGCTTCATTTATTTCTGCTTTTGTAATTAGTAATCCCTGCATTTTCATTTTTGGGGGTTGATTTTTATCCTTTTTTAGGTTTTTGAGTGGAAAATTCAGTTCATTTAATTCTGCTTTCTTAGTTCCTATGAAATGCATTAAGACATTTATTCATGCTCTCTTTCAGTTCTAAATATTTTATAATTTCTATTTGAATTCCTCTTCCTCAATTCCTCTATGAATAACCTAGCAGTATGTTTTTTACAAATTTTCATAGATACGGGGTTTTTTCTTTGCTATAATTTACATTATTGATTTCTAAGTTTATTGCACTGTAGCCAGTGAATGTGACTTCTGGAAGGTCATATTTAGGGGAACTTGTGAGAACTTGTTTTATGCTCTAAAGCATGATTTTTTTTTTTTTTGCGGTACGCGGGCCTCTCACTGCTGTGGCCTCTCCCGTTGCGGAGCACAGGCTCCAGACGCGTAGGCTCAGCGGCCATGGCTCAGGGGCCCAGCCGCTCCGCAGCATGTGGGATCCTCCCGGACCGGAGCACGAACCCGTGTCCCCTGCATCGGCAGGTGGACTCTCAACCACTGCGCCACCAGGGAAGCCCAAGCATGATGATTTTTAATTAATGTTTCACGTATGCTTTAAAAAATGAGTATTCTGTTTGCTGAGTGCTGAGTTCTTAAAATAGCAGTTAGCTCCTGTTAGGTAGGTGCTGTTTAGAACCTCTTCAGCTTCACTGCCTGGCAAAGTTCTCATCACACCCGCTGTAGTCTGCCAGGGTCTGAGACACAAAAATGTCTCTTTTGAGCTGATTTGTTTGATGTGGCTCACAAAACATACCATATGTCCAGGCCAAGGAAGACAATGGCTCTAATGTTTTTGCAAATAAGGTTAAATTTGCTGGAGTCTGAATTCTTGGACTCCCAGCTTAATTTCAAACTCTGGTTTCAAGCTGATAATCTTTGGCTCCCTCAATCATGGATGTTTGTGTTATGCAATAATTTAAGAGTGGAACTGATAAATATCTTCTTGAATGACAAAAACTGGAGGCTGACTTTGGCCCATGTTCTAGCATCAAGCATAATTTAAGGTCCTTTGCTCCTGGTCACTGTGGTTGTATGAGTGTCAACACAACTTCTCTGAGCCTTGTTTTTCCATCAGTTATGTGGATATGAGACCACCTGCCATCAGAGGGTTGTGGTGAGGCTCAGTCAAGGCAATAGACATAAAAAAGTACTTCGTAAACTGTACAGAGATCCTCAGATATCAGGCACGGGTTGAGGGCACCACGTGAAAAAGTAGCAAGTGGAAGCAGTCTCGGTGCGTGTTTCTTAACTCCCCGGGTTCTCTGGAAGGAGCCTGGACAGGGTGAGCTTGGGAGAAGTGTTTGAAGGCCCCTGAAACTCTCCGTTTCCTTCTCTTCCATCCCCCCCCCCCAGCGCGGACAACAGAAACTGCCACCATGACCACCCACGTCACCCTGGAAGATGCCCTGTCCAATGTGGACCTGCTGGAAGAGCTGCCCCTCCCTGACCAGCAGCCATGCATCGAACCCCCGCCTTCCTCCATCATGTACCAGGTTAAGTCCTCCCAGAGCACCGGGGCCAGATGGTCGGGGGTGGGATCAGGAATTCTGGGGATCCCCTGAGAGGGTTCGCCCTGAAGGCAGAGGGATGTGGGATGCCTGCATCTAGAAGGTGAAAGGTCGTCAGCTGATGGAGTCCCTGGTGCGCTGGTGGAGCTGAGTGGAAGCAATAGATAAGCTAGTAAATGTACACCAGGGCTGTTTCTCTTCCCTTGGGGAATGCTTGTTGATCTGTTCTGACCCCAAATACCTTCCCGGCTGTTCTTGCTGCAGCACCAACCAAGGTTTTGGCAGCCTGACCTCATGAATTAAATATCGCAATTTAGAAACCCCTAGAGCCTGCCTGGGTAATTACTTTTCCTTCATGTATGTGACAAGAGGTCTTCAACTCCCCACAGCCGATAATGGCTCCCGGAAGCCAGTCACAGTTGTTTGCTTTTGCCTGAGAGGCAAGCTTGTGACAAACCAGTGATCGGATTGCTCAAAACCGAGATCCCACCTGGGCGTGGTGGGAAGGACAACGGTGCAGCTGTAGTCATCCTTGCAAATAGCCCTGTCTGGGTGTGCTGGGCAAGTATACCATGTTATGAAAGAATTAGTTAATTGGACATTTTTAGCTTTTTAGCTGTATTTGACCTTTTGAAAGTTCTTGGACTGCTAAATGAGACCGAATATAAGCACACAGTATATTTTAAATTTCATTCAATGGATAGATTTATTATGCACATGCCTGAAGGTTCAACTCATCCACTTGGTTTATTCACATTTTCTAACCCAGATTAAATTTTAATTATGTAAATATCTTTTTTTATTATTAGCAATACAGGAAAGTATTTATAACAAATAAAAATTTCCCTGTAATTATGTCTATATATACACACATATATACACCCACACACCTTTTTACCATGTGTGTGTATATATATATATATATATATATATATATATATATATTTTTTTTTTTTTTTTTTTTTTTAAAAAAA